AACTGAACAACTGCACCTCGTATATAATGCTCATTGGATAAAATGGATGGAGAGCAGTAGGGAAGCTTCAAAAAGAGAGCTGGAGAGAATACTAACCTGTGGCCAGGTGGGAACGCTATGCCGGGATGTTGGTGAAACATAGGTTTAGATCCCCTCTGGGTAAAGGAGGGGGGCTCAGAATTTAGATTTTCCACTTCCTGAGTGAATGTTGAAAACACCAGCAGCTGTGGGCTAAAACATAGGAGGGTCCTCATCCATTGCTGGGTGCAGTTTTGTGACTTTGTGTAGTCCAATTATTTGTGTATGCAATCTTGTACCTGCCTGGCCAGAGCTCAGCCTACTGCATGTGCTTGGTAGCTGTGTGTATGCTTATGTGGAGTAGGATTGCAAACTGTGCCTAAGTCCCAACAAATGGCATTATGTGGCTGAGTGAAATACAGTCACACCATAGATGTCTGCATCCCCTTTCTGGCCTTTGGATAGAAATGGAGACTGCTATTGTTATGTAATGGAGTTATGTTTCATTATATAGCAATAGTCAGATTTTGGTTTTAGTACTGAAAGTCCAAGTTCAAGCTCTTCTGAAGGTCCATGCAGGGTTGCAATAGGCCACTGTTCCTATGTAGAGATATGACATGACATTCACATACTGCCTGATAAATGCTGGTACTAGTCTATCCTCAGGTACTAGTAAATTAATTTATGTTCTGTGAGGGACTGTTGGAGGTGTTAACAGGCACTGGAAGAAGTACTCTGTACTCTGTACAATGTGGTGGGTGGGCGGGCCTGATTCTTCACTCACTTTGGTGAAACTTGTGAATAGCTCCATTGGTGTGAGTTGGGGTGGCAGTTGCATCAGGCCACAAACCCAACCTTACAGATCAGCTAAAGGTCAGGGGAGACAGAGCTCATATGTTGGCTTGTAATATTGTGGTGGGTAGGGGTGCATGAGCTGGATCATAGGGAAAGCTAGTATAGATGTGGAGTAGGAATGTGCATGTGGGGTAGGATTAGCACAGGCAGGAGTGGAGAGGAGGGGTGTCCATTCCTTGAGTTCTCTTTCTCAAGGAAGTTACTTCACTGAAGCCTTTTTATTTTTCCTCTTAAATAATTGGTAGGATCAGTTGTGAATCTTTGTGGTGCTTCTGATTCTTTGGCATATTGATCTACTGAAAATGGGGACAATTTAAATGAGATGATGTATGGGGGCAGCAGGGTGGATCAATTCAATTGTATCAACCTGAGAGGGACAGCTTGGTTTCTCCTGGGAGTCAGAGGCTGTAGCTGACCTTCTAAAAACTGACCATTCCACTCACCCTTTCTTTTTCCCATGGAATCATTACTCACTGACACAGTTACTATTTGGAAAGGATTTTTTCTATGCATGGTTGCTGTGTAAATGATTTTGCCAAATACTCCTGGGGGTGGGAAAAACAAACATAAAACATTTAAATGTTTTCAAGGGATTCAAAATGCATTCTTTCTGTCCCACCCTGCCTCAAACCTATTACGACTTGGTGTATTTTAAATTAATATTTCAAAGCGGTCTCGCCTTTGAGCATATAAGAGCTGGTGCATATACTTCTTAAGTAACCAATGTCGGATTCTCCCTCCCTTCCATAAACCCAGCATGGGGTAGCATAGCAATGCCATAATGGCTCATCTTCTCTTGGTCATATGCACAGGGGGCATGGCCAGCAGGGGAATAAATGCGATTGGAGTGCTCCTTCAACCAGTTGCATTTATGGTGCCTAACAGTGCAAATGGCACCTGCCAGGAATTACAACAGCTTGTACTGCTCTAAGATGCTCTGCAGGTTCAGATGGATTGGTTCCCAGCCAGCTCTAGGATTAGGAATGGGGGAATGGAAGGGTGTGGTTTAAAGACCAATTTGCACTTGGCTCCAAATTTAGGCTGAGAGCTAGATTGGGATCTGACTTGTTGAAATCAGAGTGCTCCATTTAACAGACCTCACTGATGCAAAGTCCTAGAGCTTTGGTCCTTGGCTGCTAATTTGTTTGGAATGAGAGAGTGCCCCAAACCTTTGTCCTTCTAAACTGTCCAAGTAAACTAATTGTGTCTGAGTAAACTACCTGGAAGATCTGGTTGGACTGTGGGAAAGGAAACCTCCCAAAATTTCCTTAGGGCTACAGCAGCCCTGGTCAGTATTTCTACCTCATTCCATGAAGAGAGATGGATAATGTGGCTTTGTCAAAAAGCAAGGAATGATGGCTCTGTTCAATTGCATTCTTCTCTGGGCTGCTTGTTTCCTGGCCTTGCATGTCCACTTGGAAATCCCTGAGCCCTATGGTACTCAGGGGCCCACAAAAGAGTCCCTCCTTCCTTTTGAATTGCAGAACCTCAGATCCTCTGTTACCTCTGGAACTCTGTGTCTCTGAAGAGGAGGGAGGCAAGAGTTGCCTCAATAACTGTTGGTCCTTATGGTGAGGAGTGATTGCTTCATGGATTATGAGCTTTTTTAGCATAGTGTATTGTCAGAGATCTTAAAGAAATGTAAAGTTGTGTTAGTGCAACTGAGCTCAGATGGTAGTATTGGGAATGTTCAGAGAACAAGTGGGGCTGAGGTGGTCTGGGTGCTAAAGTGCAAAATTGACAGCTCAGAGGTCACAAGTTTAGGGCCATAGCAGAAGTGCTCATGGCACGGCCTTATCAGATTCCAATTACTCTTTTAATTCTGCTAAATACCTTGTCACAAGGACACAAGGAAGGAAGCGAACAGACTAGTCATGCGGAGAGGTGATTCATCAGAAGGAACTGTACAGGGGAAGTTTTTGTCCCTATCTTGCAGTCCTTTGTCAATCCAAAACATGTATCAACTGAGATTTATACTGAGTTACACACATCTAAGGGGCAGGCCCCAAATAGGCACAAAACTATGTTCCTTTTGGAGAGTGGAGTAAGGAGATAAATGTAGCACATTAGGACAGCTCCTATTTTCCTCTGAGACCCCAGGTTTCAGTCCCTGCTTCAAAACTGGACATTCAGTTTCTTGAAAAAGTTAAAAGCCTGAGTCCTAGAATAGGGTGGAATGTAAGTGTTTCCTTTGGGTTTATCAGTTGACTAGCTTGGTTAGCTATGTTCACAGCTTGCTGGCTCTTGACAATTCCATCCTGAGTTGCCCAAGTCTTCCTGTGCCATTTCCAGGAAGTTTAGGCACCTCACTCGAGGTGGCAGGAACCAGATGCCTGAAAAATAGGCTCAGCAGTGCAATGTCTAAGTCCCTTCATGGCTCTAGCCCTCAGTTCCTCATCTATAAGATAGAGATAAAAGTACTTACCCATCTCACAGACACATTGTGAGAGTGAATACTTTAAAGATTGTGAGGTACTCAACCATGAAGATGATGGGAGTCAGTTAAGTACTTAAAATGACTATAGAAAAGATGTTCTGTAACTGGAATCCTGACTGTACCTGGAACAGTCTGTGTTTAGATGCAAGTGGAGAGTCATCATTTAAGTTAGTAAAAGAATCCTTTGCACAGCTCAGCTCTGGGGTTAGAATTTACCTCTTGGGACAGGGTAGATGGCAGCCAATATTCATGGAAAAATCATCAAAATAATTGAGGCCAGGGCAGAATGTGACCTGAAATTTCTTCCATTGTTGCTTTTCATGTTTCTTGATGGCAAGATGGAATGCAGCATTCGAAGTAAACCAAACAACCCCTCTTCTCTTCCCTTCTCCTCAGCAAACCCTACAGGGACTTGATTCAGCAATGAAAAGAATGACTTATTTATTCATAGTGAGGGGTAAAGTACACATATTGTTTCTGGGACAAGACACTCAGACAAAAAACCATGAGACTTAAAATAGTTTGTAAGAAACAAAGCAGTTAAAATGTCTGTATGTATATAGGTAATAGCTATATTACTGGTATATTTTGCTCTGAGGGGTATATAAGGATGCTTTTCATATTGTGAGTGGAAATGTGCAGTAGAACTGGATGCCTGAAGATGTACTCTGTTTAAACCCCTTCATCCTTTCTACCAAAGATTTGGAAGAGAGCTCTTTTTGTGGCTTAAATTCTTTACAATTTAAAATTCCTAATAGTCTTGTTTGTGTCTTTCACTTGCAAGAATCACTGGTGAAAGCCATAAATATTTGATCAGCCAGAGTGAGCAGCAAATACAGAAAATTAGCTAGCATTGTGGACTCTTAGGGGGTTTGTACATGACACGGGGGTTTAATTCTCCCCATATTGAAGCAGTGGGCAGAGCAGTCCCTGAGCTGTGGGGCGGGGGGGGAAGGGAGGGAGGGGCGCTGGTGCTTCCCTCTGCGGCAGCCCCCCATCCAGGGGCCCCCCACCACAGGCACCCATCTCAGGTGGTCCTGGGGGGGCATTGCAGCCGTGAAGGGAAGCACTGGGTCCCCTTGAAGCTCAGGCAGGTAGGCTCTGAGGGGAAAACAAAATGATCAGGCTTGCCACCCCCCACCCCCTGTTCTGTGGAGCCTGCCTTCCTGGGCTGCCTACAGGGGCTGCATGCACAGCCCCTGAGATGCATGGGGCCCGGTGCTTCCCTCCGCAGCTGTAGGGTTTAGGAACTAAAACTCCTCGGAGGTGTTTTACTTTGCAGTAACCCAAAGTCATTTGCTGTGGCCCAAAGTCATGTAAGGCGCATTATGCCACCGAAAGTGCTACAGTGGCTGAAATTAACGTGCGATATACTGCTGAATGTGCAAACAGCAATGCCATTTAAGTGGTGCAAAAGGCATTTAACCCGCTTTAAACCTGCTTTAAAGTGTTATCTACAAATGCCCTTAAAAATAACCTTCTGTATCACTGAGGGTGAAACTCAGGTGGAGGTTTTTAAATAGTTTTCAAAGAGCTGGTGGGCCGGATTCTCAGCTTCCTTGTTTATGTAATCACTTGCAGCTGTCAGAGGAGAGCCTACAATGTCAGCTATTTAGTGGCCCCATCCACCCATACAAGTAATAGCATTTTGTTCTCAGTCTGGATTGGTGTACCTGGCTGCACAAGATCCATGTCAGTGGAGATTCTGCCTCTGTGTGCAAGAAGCAGTAGGCTCAGTGTTTGAATGTAGTATCATTTTATGCACTAGCAATGCACAAAGTTCACGTGAGCATCAAGGCTTGAATCCTGATTGCTTTATTCTGCAGGTGGAAAATTGACCCTGCCATGGATGCACAACAGAAGGTACCATGTTCAGACCATGGGTGACAATGAGTGGGGCTCAGTGTCCTGCCTGCCATTGAAAGGGTGTTGGCAGCAGTGATGGGTGCTGAGTTTACATTAATAAAAAATAACCGATCCCCAATGTGTTCATAGATTTCATAGACATTAGGGCTGGAAGGGACCTCGGAAGATCATCGAGTCCAACCCCCTGCCCCAGGGGCAGGGTCAGCTAGGGTCAAAGGATCCCAGCAAGATAAGCATCCAAACATTTCTTAAAAGAATCCAGAGTAGGTGCTTGCACCCCCTTTGGAGGGAGTGTTGACTGAGTGGTGCTTAGATGTTTTTGTGTAGGGCTGGATTTCAGTGGCAGGGAGGAAGAGCTGTGTTAAAAACCATACTCTGGCACTAGGGTGGGACTGATTTCTTCTCCCCTGCCTTTCATTTGTATAGAGCTCCATCACTCAGGTTTTAGGTAGGGAACTCAAATTTAAATCATGTTGACTTCTTCCATAGGAATACACTGAGTAAAGTGAGCAGGCTTGGGTCCCAAAGTGGATAGAACCAGGAAGTGCAGACACAGACCTATCTAATATCTAACTGATGTGTTCTTTCAAACAGATACTAATTTTGTCTTGGGCAATGCCCAGATAGTGGATTGGCCCATTGTGTACAGCAATGATGGATTTTGCAAGCTATCAGGCTATCACAGAGCAGAAGTTATGCAAAAGAGCAGCACCTGCAGGTATTTGAGAGCGGATTTACTTTCTACTAAATAACTTGTAATGGTATGTTGTTGCTTGAAGAGGGTGGGGGAGGTTGGGAATCCAATCTGTTTATTCCAGTTTTCTCTTTAATCTCCCCAGGCTGTATCTGTCAGTTATGCTTAGCAGGTGAAACAATACGACAAAATCTGACAAGGGCAATTTTTGGTTAAACCTTTTTCACACTGTAAACAAATGGCTTAGTTTATTCCTCCAGTATCTTACGTGAATTCTTTGGCTTGTTTGCAGTTTTATGTATGGAGAGCTGACAGACAAAGATACAATTGACAAGGTCCGGCAAACATTTGAAAACTACGAGATGAACTCCTTTGAAATCTTGATGTACAAAAAAAACAGTAAGTTGCATCTTTAAAAAAAAATGTACATGTTACATATGCTTCCAGTTTGTCAGCCTGAGAGATGGCAGTCCTTGCTTTAATATTAAGCCTCAGTCCTACACCTTGATCCATAAGAGCAGACACTTGTGTCCTATGAAGACCCACTGATGTTGTGGACACAGGAGTCTGCCCATATGCATCAGACTGCAAAAGTGAAGACTTCTTGCTTTAAAAGTCTTTAAAAGACTTTAGTACAAATAATCCTCCACTTATTATTTTGCCTTTTGAATTCCAACTCAATTCCAATTCAGGTGTTGTACTGAGTGAATATTATTACATGGAATAATATATTATACAGTTGCCAAACTGAAAAAAAAAAACATAAATCATTTTGGGTTGACAGAAAATGAAATATTTTTCAGTTTTTCCTCATTGTGACAGGGTGCTTGGTGCACCAGTCACTTTAAGAGCAGAGGCTGCCTGAGAAGCAGCTTGCAGGTGGCAGGGAGGCGGGGACTGATTAGGGGGTCAGCTGGGCTTGAGGTACATAAGCCCTGACTGGTGCTGTGAGAAGAGGTCCTGGCAGTAGGGCTCTTGATAACTGCTGAGCTGCAGTTAAGCAGCACTGAGCCTAGCAACAGACTGGGCCTGGGACTAGGAGCATGTGAGCCCATAGCATGGAGAGGGATGGCAGAGAGTGGAGGACCAGGATGCCCAAAGCTCAGGTAACAAAGAGCAGCACCTGAAAAGGGCAAACCGGTCCTTGGAACAGATAGGCCAGAGGACAGGGACAGTGGCACGAGAGGGCTGGTGGTGAATAACTCCTGGTGGTTGTGGAAGGTACGGAGGTCCTGACTGGCCCAGCAAGAGAGAGAGAGGTCAGAAGAATAGAGGGCCTGAGCCCATTGGAGGGCAGAGTGTGGGGTCAGAACAGGCCTTGGAAGAGAGAGTCCTGGGGTCCGTGGGGAGGATGGAGCCCATGAAACTCCATAAATTTGTCCGTGGATTACTTTGTGATGGCGATACAGTTGTTCCTACATACCAACCCTCTGATGACTTCAACTTGGTCCCAGAAGTCCCCTTTTTTTAAAAGATGAGTTTTGCAGCTTGCTCATTGATTGAACAATGCAAGCTCAAGTGAAATAGTAAAAGGAAGCAGCTCCTGGTGAAGGATCACTTGCATAGACCATCCTGATGCCAGCTGCTTCTCATTTAAATACAAGGGGTCCCAACCCAAGCACCTCTGCTGACTATTAGAAGATTACCTCTTTACTCACTGTACAGGTTGCTACTACATCATTTTCCTAAACGTGTCTCACCAATTTGTCTCAGCCTTGATATTGAGGGGCCATTTCTAAAATCAGGTTTCCTAGCATATTAGGTCCTTTGTCTTCCTGCTGAGCTTGCCAAGTAGTACCAGTTGCGTATGGCTATCCAAAAGAAGCAAAGACATTTCACATGGGCTACTGAAGGATAATAAAGTCTCTGCCTGCCAGTACCAACCCACAGGCCTGCTTTGTCCCTTGTTTTCAGAATATAGGCTGTTCCGGTGAAGTCAGGATACATCTCATTGGCTTTGTCCTCATTTTGAGAGAAAACATTCCTACCCCAGCTTATTTTCCTTTCTTCTGTCTCTGCTCTTATTTTGTGCATATTATAATGCAGTCTGAGGCACCATTACCTCTGAGACTGCTCTATTGCTTGGGGCTTTCCTGGAGCACATCTTTACTAATCCCTATCATGAGAAGCTGTGTACACCTCTTGAATAGCATATAGTCTCTCTGATTGCATCTCCCTGACTGTCTTCTGCTTCTAGTGTTTACCTGTGTCTTGCAGTTTATTACTATTCCTAGTCTAATTCTACAGGGACAAATGCAACTGACCTCCATGCCTCCAGAGCCAAGTAAATAAGATGTTTTCATGGGATCTAAGGGTGGCCAGAGGAAAAAATCCTCTCAGCTAACCAGGGATTTGGCACAGCATAGCTATGCAGCTGCTACCCTGTCACTGGTAGAGCATATGGACTGTAGTAGCATAGTTTCAGTTTTTTAGCGGCTGGAAGGGACCTTGGGCTTCTGTGTCCCTCATGCATGTTTAAAGCAAAGTACTGTAAGAGGGAGCAAGGGCTCCTGTTACTTTAAAACGAAAAGGGCAGTAGGGCAAGATCTGCAATCTGATGTAGGCAGCTGAGCAAAGGCCTGCTGCTAGAAAGTAAGCAGCCTGTAGATGACAAGGGATAGGAGCTACAAAACTGTGTGGTTATCCTGAAGTCAGCTGCCCTACAATAAGCTGTAAAGGGGCAGAACTCCAAGAAGTCAGATAAGTACAGACTGCTGAGCAGCTGGATTGGCTGCAGCAGAAGGGAGTAGGGTTATTAGTGGGCAAAGGAGAAACCCCTGTGCCTGGTTTAGAGAATCAAGATCTGGTAGAAGGAGAGATAAGTCTAGCTCTAGGACCAGAGAAGGCAGACTGGCCCTGACCTCTTCAGGGAGAGGAGCTCCTGGGGCATGAGGCTGTTGGAGCTAGACCTATAGTCAGCCCAGAGAGCTAGAAGGAGACAGCTAAATGGAGAGTAGGAGTTGCTGTGGGATAGTGACCCAGAACAGGGTTGAAGTGTTTTAGTTTGAAGCAGTTTGCTTGTGCTTCTGTTTCTGACTGGAGGTTTAGGTGTGTCTACATATGGGCAGTTGTGGGTCACAGGTTGGGTGCCTGGGAGGCATTCCCTGTTATACAGGGATGAGGCCAAGATACAGCTGTGCAAGGGTCAGGGACCTGGTGGACTAAGCCAAATGGCGGCAACAGCTCTGCATAGGTCAGAATGGAATTAAGGCAGAACCTGTGAGGCATGGGTCTGGCTATGGGGGGGAAGTGAGGGCCAGGATTGGTGCCCCTCAGGTACAATTAGGGCCAGGAGGGCATAGGCAATGCTTACAAAGTGCAGAATATTTTTAAGTAGCAGACTGAGCATCTGGTGATATAAGTAGGACCAAGGGTCTGGCTAAGGGACTTAAGTGCAACACCACCAGGGTCATCCTGGGATTCTGGGTCAGCTTCCTAAAGTAATGTAGCAATTGTGTGGCAGGAAAAGCAGTGAGGGGGTACCCTTAGGAGCTGGAGTGGGCAGGTTTGAATGGGCCACCAGGAGAAGCCACAGTCACCCTCAAGGGTCTGTCCTGCTATAGGTATGTAGGCGGTGGAGAACGCTCCAGGCACTCCCCTGTCTTCAGTTGCAAGGCTCTAAGAAAAGACATTACGGAATAGAGGACCCTGAGCAAAAAAGGCCCCAAAGTTGCCATGTCACGGTCCTGTCACCTACTAGGACTTTTATATTGTAGGACAAGGACCATCCAGAGAGGAGGCAGCAACTGGTAAACAAAAAGTGATTTGTAAGCAGTTTTACCATGTGCTTAATTCTTGTGATATTAAGTAAAATACATATCTCAGTGGTCAGTCACTGGTGCTGCCTGCTCTTTATAAGCCAGTTAAATATGGTTTCTTCATGCATCTCCACTATACTCAAACGTATTATTACAAGGCTGTGCATTTTTTCAACTCACTGAAGTGTCACTATATTAGAGATACTAAAACCATTGGTGTTAGGGAGACCTTGCCTGATGATATACAATTGGAACCAAGCAATAACATAAAGGATTCTCAAACATTTTCAAAACATCAACCATATTCTTAAAGTGGCACCCTTTTCTTTACCTTTATTGGCATGAAGACCAACCCTCTTTCTTCTCATATATGGTCCCATTGCAGTACTATGCCCAAACAAGCAACTGCTGTAACAAAGTCAATATGAGATAAAGCTGGAATAAAAGCTGGTTAAAAATGGTAAAGATTTTTCATTAAAAAGTCCAATGTTTTTTCAATCTATAGGATTAAAAAATGACCTTTAAATTTTTTATGAAGTACTTAGCTCTGAAATTTTTCATTGTTTTGGCTTCTCCCTGTTTTGTCTTTTTCTTTTTCCTTGCTTCCTTCTCCACCCCTCCCTCCCACACACTTTTTTCAAGTTAGATACTAAACTAGTAAGTGGAAGGAATAATATCAGACATAATATGAAAAACAACACAGCTTTGATTTAAATTTTGCTGAATAAACAGAGCATTTTATAAAAATGAACCTTTTTGAAAAAATGATCATCTCTGTATTTAATATAATTTTAGCAATTTTAAAATGTAAGGTATCAGGTGAGAGCAAGTGCAGGTAAACGAGACCTTCACAGTCATTGAAGGGGAACTGGAATTTAATCAGCAGGTTGACTTTCATCTTATACTTGGTAGCTTTGTGAACAGCAATCAGCCTTTTGTTAGCTATCAGTTTAGGGGGGTATTTTATGGGAGCCAGAGCAGACACACACAGTCAATAGCTGAAGTCATTTAATAACTTAACCAGAGCTGGTATACATCTTCTGATACAGTTGTCTAAACAACAGTGACCTGTTTGTTAATAGTTACTCTGCACTTTAGAAGGTCCATCATTTTACTGGTTTAGCATGTCTGAGAGTCCTAAACTGGTTTACAGCAATGACAGTCTGTTTTACCCTATGGAGTTGGCACACACAAGTCTACTCTAAAACATTGCAAGAGTGTTACTTTTCACAGAACTTGAAATTAAGATTCAGAGAGGAGCTCACAGAGCGGTATGTCAGCCCCTTAATTTCACAGCAGATATGTGAAGATTGGTACTGGTTATTTGAAGTATGTCTTCATAGGGCTGCAACTGCTGGAATTCTTCAGGCAAAGCAGAAGCAATTAGAATGATCAAATTTCCAGAGACCAAACTCTCCCCAGAGTTTCATTGGTGGACCCCTTGACCTCAGTGAGGGTACATGAAAGTCTCTGAGAGGAGACCGCAAAGGCTTTCCTAAATTTTGAATTTTGAGCAACACCACACAGGCTTACAGTAATTTCAAGGGAGAGCTGGAATTCCATTATTTTATTATAAGTTAATTTGCAACACTGCTAGGAATATTTTGCACAAGGAAATGTAAAGCAGTGCCAGATTGCACT